ATGGAATGTTGAAGTGACTTTTTCGGTGCATAATATTTCCATCAGGAATTATTTTTTTTCTTTCTGGATAGTATTTACCTCAAATTTATCCAGGATCTAAGAAGTAAAAAGTGGATGTTTATATTAACATGATTGTCTTACAACTATGCTGATTAACAAATTTTATTCAACAATAACATTACAAGGAAATAGATAACTATTGGAAGTAATACACAATATTAAGATTATGAAAATGCAAATATCAAATGGAGATTGTTTAAAATGAAAATACTTGAGCTGCCCAAAAACTTTAAGAATTACTTCACTTTATTCCCCCCCCCCCCTTTTTAGCGCTTCCTCGCATCTCTCAAATATCAGCAAAAACTATTAAAAACAAAAAATCAATATTCACATCAGTCATAACCACACACTGAATCAGATGAATTAACTACAGAATTTAACGTTATTATCTGAAGATATTAATATATTTGTAATGTGATATTTTGCTGGTGAGCAATCTCACTTACACGGTATGTTGATAAATGATATAGTTTCCCGTAAAACAGTTAAATCAGTTTTCTGATAAATCGATTTCGTCTTCGTAAGAAAACGAATTAAATTGTTAAATGATAGGATACTTTTATAATAATTTTCAGCTAGATGAAAACATACATTAGCGATGATATAAATTACATACTTTGTAGCGTACCTTTGTTTACGATATATATAAGCAGGACATATCAAGTATCCATTTTGAGGTGAATTGTGAAGATGATCCCTTTGATAATCTAATAGATATGACAGGTAAATTAGTAGAAATATTAGATCTAGATCTGATTAAAGTATTTTATAAATAATCATATGAAAGCTAAATGTTTATTGCTCTAAATGATTTTAGGGGAATTCTATTTCTCTTATTCGCATTAGTTTATAGCTATCGTTACTTAAGTTAATAGATTATATATATTTTAAACTATTACTGATGGCAACGCAAACTGAATAAGCATTTTTTTCATGACCCTCCTCCATTTATAAGATCAAGAAGAGAAACTATACACGATATGTTTGTGAATATGTTTCTTAATAAAATCTGGATGATTCCTCGTTACTGCATGGCTTTTCGATTCGAATTTACTACATTTAGAATCGATTATATTATCGATCACAAATAAACGAGTCATGTGCGGTGACTTTGCCGGATACCTGTCTACCATCGTTCGTGTTAGACAAAGAAAATCCTGCACAAACTTTTTCCCATTCATGTTTATTAATTTATGAGAGAAAGGGGTACAATAAAGTATAAAAGGCCATTTATGTGCATTCATTAACCAAGTAATTCATATTCATCACAAGAGAGAATGAATACAATATCTGAATTTAGCAAACAACAGCTTACCAAATAAGCTAAAGGTACTACTGGCTTCCACGAACGCCATTGAGTCGCCGGATCAACACGAAGATTCCCGAAGATTCCGGAATCCCAAACTCCTATTTGCCTCAATTAGAGTCCTCTGAGTCGCCGTCGCCTCTACCTTCGCCCTCATCACCATGGTAAATATCGAAACGAGGGTAAATAAGTGATAAAACGGGGAGGAAAGGGATCAAAAGAGAGGAAAAGAGAACACGTGTGACGCGGATTCCTATATCGAGCGTGAGTCACAAGGGAGGCAAGACGTGTTCTCGCGAGGTCCAAGTTTATCACCAAAATGGTAATACTTCTCTGGTTTTTAGTCGTGATAATCATCTATTTATTATATTTCCCAGTTCCTCGTTACGATAGCGAGCCTAAAAGAGGGTGATATGGGTTTATTTAAGGGTAATCAAAGGTTTGTGAAGCAGGGTGTGTTGTGGATGCGAGGGCGGGCTCCAACAGGGGCGGATAATTCGACGGCTTCTATAGTTTTAACGTAATTCTGTGGCGATTTTGGCTCATTTCGTGGATTTTATTTGGGTTGCATGAAATAAGCAGATTGTATATGATCATAGTTTGGAGTTAAAGAAAGTGATAGTTATCCCGGTGTCAAAATACGATGATATATGTTTCAGGGGAATGAGAGAGAATTTGATGATAAAAGAACGAGAAAAAAAATATATGTAACAAAAAAATTGTTTGTGTTCTTAAATTCACTGTAACAATGATAATGATTTGGTATTGATGGATTACATATAATGCATACTATTTTTAGCAGTTTCAGTCAGAGGTGAACGACAGTTGTAATTTAATTGGGGGTCGTATATTTTGCAGGGAACTGTAATAAGACGACGCACACTACTAATTCTGCCCGGTCCTATTTTTAGGGAATTTTTGCAACCTTTTATTGTAGTTTTAGTCTACTATGACAAACTAGAGGAATGATATTGGCAGTAATTAAAATGGCGTCACGTCAAGCAGTAACTAGTTTCTGCAGTTTCATTGATCCAGTAAATTATGTAAAAATGTCCACCTCATTTATTATGGCAAGCTCTCTTTTAGTAATGCTTGAAGCTGCAATTATGTATGACAACTGTTACCTGTGACCACTTGCGTCTGCCCCTTCTTTCTTGGAACTTGATATACCTCCCTGCGAAGAGGGGTAGAGGGGGTGGGATCCCAAGAAATTGCATTCATCATTTTTGTGTGAAATAAGTAAAAAAAATTTGTTATTGTTTTTTCTGATGTTACCACATAATTTCTATAGTATATCAAGCCCTCCCCAAATATCAGGTCCAATATCATGGTTGTAGTGGTTCAACATTACCTAAAACTACTTGGAATGGACAGTACACATCATAAGTAGTCCATCAGTTCTTAGCATTTGCAGTCTGGAACCTGGTATGAAGTACAATTTTATGTCAGGACCAATGTCAGTCATTACCCACATGACCAGTCTGCAAGTATGCAAATGTCATCCAACCTTGATTTAAGTATACGATATGACTGCACCGACTAGGAAAATAGCATTGTAGGCAGTGAAAAACTACATTCATTTCCATCAAAATTGATTTGCAGAAGTGAACCTATTTGAGTTAGACTATAAAAATGTGGCATTCACCAAGTCCCCACACGCCTGCAGACAAAGTTCAGCCCTTCTTGTGTTGCAGTGAACAACTTAACTGCACGGCAACCCAACATAAACTGTCTTGGTGCATGTAGCTCATAATGTAACGGCAATTTTCTTAGAAGTGCACTCTAGTATTTCTGGATTCTAATTTATGTGAAATTTTAACGAAATACGTATATATTAAATGTTCATGGACCATCCATACTTGTGGAAAGGTATGAATGAGAACGAACATCACGTATTTTACCGGTTTCGAATATATCTGTCAGAAATACATAAAGATATTTTCGAAACCGGTAAAATTCATCTCTTGTATTGTGAAGATATTCATTCTCATTCATACCTTTCCACATTTGTCAACATGAATACGATTCAACATCCACACTTATGCCTACAATACTACTTGTATTTCTGATTTTTACTTTTATTTTTTATTTTTATGGGTCACTGCCCTCTCCAAATTTGAGTTTTGTTGTCACAGTTCTCATTGTTTGTTCCACAGGTGAAGTCTGCCTACAATACTACTTGTATTTCTGATTTTTACTTTTATTTTTTATTATTATTATTATTTGTTATTTATTTATTTTTATTTTATTTATTTATTTATTTTTTTTTTTTTTCCAATTTTGCGGTGAAAGCGCTCTCACTGAAATGTTACAATATAGGGGATAACACTAAACTCGATGATACACACACACACACACACACACACACACACACACACACACACACACACACACACACACACACACACACACACACACACACACTACTGAATTGGTTGAATGGGATAAAAAGATAGACCTAGGTTAAATTCAAAGTCTTTTCTGTAGAAACACATAAATGGCTTTTGCTGAGGATAAATTTTCGATGTGACAGTAGATCATTTGTAAGGTGCTGGGTTACCTTTTACATAAGAGGTAACAAAAGAGTTGCCACAAGATTTAGAAATAGTGAAAGAGATTCCCTATACCAGTGGTTTCCAGATTGGTCAGTAACAATGAACTCCTAGGAGTCAAAAACAGGGTCGATTAAAGCTGGGGCCCTTTGTAGTTTTGGGGTCGAAAGCTGACATTCATACAAGAAATAAGAATATAGAAAATATCTTGCTGATACACATTACTGATTTATACATTTGTTTTTATTGTCTTTATTTTTTATTCTCTTTATATTTTGGTACCATATTTTTCATGAGACATTCACAAGGGGAAGGGATACAGGGCAACAGTTTCACAGGGCTTAGTTTGCTGTTCCCCTCAGTAATGTATATGAAAACTGCATATCTACTTATTACTAAAAAAAATTGAATTAATATTTTTTGCACATGCTTGGGGGTTGCAGAGAAATTAAGAATTCCATAAAGGAGTTAATAGTCCAAAGAGTTTGGGAACCCCTGTCCCAAAATATGAATGAATGGGAGCCTTCAAAATTCATTATTAGTAAATATGGCTACCAAGCCTTACAGCCTGTTTTTTTTTTTCTCAGATTTACTATTTGCTTGGTAAGCTTAACATGTTTTTACCACAAATTGACTGTTTACCAAGCCTTACAACCTTACAACCTGTTTTTACTATAAATTGACTGTTTGCTTATTGTTTTTGCAGGCTGTCGCACTCAATCCAGTACAGATTATGAAATCTGAAGCCGAGGAGGAGCGCTCGGAAACTGCTCGGCTCTCATCCTTCATTGGTGCCATTGCACTTGGGGAACTGGTGCGCTCCACACTTGGTCCTAGAGGCATGGACAAAATTCTTGTAGCCATGGGCAGAAGTGAAGGTAAGATTTGAGAATGGCTATTTTGAAGAAAGTGTTTTTCTTTTTCCCATATTAATTTACTGATATAATTTATTATTTTGCTGATGAAATGAAAAAATGATGTGCTTCATCTCAGGACAAATCGAAGTCACAAATGACGGTGCTACTATCTTGAGGAACATTGGTGTGGACAATCCAGCAGCCAAGATTTTAGTTGACATCAGCAAGACACAGGATGATGAGGTAGCTTAATTATTTTTACTCTTTTCCCCCTGTTTTCTCAATATCCAACCATACGTATTTTGATAAAATTATGTTTTCCAAATGCCTTTTCATGATTCATCTCAATAAACAGGTTGGAGATGGAACAACATCTGTCGTTGTCTTGGCATCAGAGTTGCTACGAGAGGCTGAGAAATTGGTGGCTATGAAAATTCATCCCCAGACCATTATTGCTGGTTACCGCAGGGCCACAGATGTTGCTCGTGAGGCGTTAACAAAGTCGGCTCAAGATAATTCTGCCAACCCTGAAAAATTTAGGGAAGACCTTCTGAAGGTATGATTTTCTTTTTTTCTTTTCCTTTTTCATGTCTGAAAATCAGTAGACTAAACAAATTTTTCACTGATATCAGTACAGATTTGGTGTACTAAAAGTATGGACTGCACAGAGAGAGATATGCAGCTAAGATTTTAATCTTCAAGAATATGTTAAACATTTAATACAAAAAATATATGGTACTACATTTATGCAAGTGCATGAATCTTTGTTCATACAGCATTATGTTAACATTTATCACTGCATATGATTGTATTCAATGCTGTAAATGTTTTAAAAACCCTCTTTGACAAAGATTTATACCTTCTGAGTAATTAGTACACATTCAAGTGTCATGTCATATTGTAAGTTGTGGAAGAAATGGAGTTGAGGGTATTAACAAGTTTTATGGGATACACTCCACTAATGAATCATGATACACCATTTGATTTTGTAATGTGACCCAGTGGAGGATCAGAATTTGGAGTCATCATAACTTTCTTACTTTCTGTTTTATTAATCCCCTGGATCTAGATGACGTCACGGTCACGTCAAAGAAAATCTTGGTCAGCTATATGGATGAAGAGCAAAGACCAGGGTGACGGAAAAGACTCGCCTTGAGTGCACAAACCTTTTGGAGTGTGAATTGACTCATTTGGCACTTAGAAGGGGGCTTTAGCATTATTCCCATCAATAAACGAATGTGGAATTTAACGTGCGTAAGCAGGGACTGGAAGAGTGCCGGTTCCGGGGAGGGCACCATTTCCATGCTGTGCAATGTATTTCTGGACGCTGGCACAGGTTATATTATGGAAAATTAAAAATTATTAAAAAATGAGATGTAACACAAATAACCAAATGTTCCCTTTTCCTTGAACTGAGCTATTTACTACATAGAGATATGAAATGGAGTCTGTGCAAGGAAAATAAATTAAAGCAAATCAAAAGACAAATATGGACATTGGAAAATGGCAATAAAGCTTTTAAAAAAAGTTTTCACAAAATAACTTCTCAAAGGGGAGGCACAGAGTCTTGTCACCGCTCACGGGTGTTGATGCCCACCCGACCTATGTGCCGCACGTCTGGGATGCTGGCTACTTACATAACCATTGCACCTGGATCCAGGGGGTTAATGGGTTTCTAGATTTATGCTGGTTAGATACTGGTTAATAGATGTACAACTGTTTACTTATTGTAGATATATAATCAATACAATTTTTTTTTTTTTTTTTTTTTATATATATATAAAGATTACTGTATATCTCCTTTTTAAAAAAATAAATTTTTACAAAGTCCATGATCATTGCTAACATTCTGACAGCACTGCAGAGCCCAAGCACAGCCCACTCATATTTACACTTGCCTCTCAGATCTCACACACTTGTACACTTTTCTCCACACTGTGTGTGTGTGTGATTTTGTTACTGAACTTTGCATATAGCAAGTGTCTGATCATGAGTGGGTTGTATCAGAAAGACAATTTTTTTCTCTAAATGTATTTCAATCCACTTCTGTATAGATATTTTTAAGCATCCAGCAGACTTCAAAACAGCTGCAGTACTTTGTTAACTTGAAGCCATATCCCAAATACTCAAATAATAACACACAGCTGTAACACAGCCCTTATCTTGCTTGTCAAGAGTTTAGGGCATGCTGACCCTTTTTCCACATTAACCTCACCACTGTAATAATTTTTCATTTTGAATGTTCTTTTATTTTCAGATTGCAAAGACCACACTCAGCTCAAAGATTTTGGCTCAACACAAAGATTTCTTCTCCAACTTGGCTGTAGATGCTGTTTTGAGGTTGAAGGGATCAGGCAATCTTGATGCCATCCAGATAATTAAGAAACAGGGTGGCACCTTAGGCGACTCATTCCTTGATGAGGGTAATTTTTTCTTGCATGTTATATGATATATGTATGAGTATTATTCCTGTTACATTATTTTTTTCTTTTTATACCATTGTATCATCAACATAAGTTATAAAAGCTTAATGAAATAAGATAATTAGCTCTTTAGACCAATTACTAGGAAAACTTCTTACTGTATCCTTCATTCTTTTACAATACCTTTACATGTGACCCTAAATCTCTTATACAGGCTTTATCCTTGAGAAGAAAATTGGTGTTAATCAGCCCAAGCGCATTGAAAATGCAAAAATTCTGATTGCCAACACACCCATGGACACTGACAAGATTAAGGTGTTTGGTTCAAAGATCTCTGTCGAATCCACAGCTAAGGTAAGCATGTCTTAACAGAGTAATGCATGATTTTCTTCTAAGTCCAAGTGTGTATTGACATTAAGAGCAAAATTATTTACAAGGAAATTATCAACTTGTTTAATTAATAATTTCATAACTTCTTTAAAGGTTGCAGAATTGGAAATTGCTGAGAAAGAAAAGATGAAGACAAAGGTACAGAAGATTCTCAAACATGACATCAATGTATTCATCAATAGGTAAGGGCTTTTTTGTCTGAAATTTTCTTGAAAGTGCACATCAGTAAGAAGTATTTGTTTAGATGAGCATATTGTAATTAGGGTCCTGAGTAAAAGGTCTGACTAAAACTTCTCTAGTTCGAAATAGAAGTGATTTATTTTTAGTATAAAGATGGTTTTTAAAGCTGGCCTCCTTTCAAATGTTTAAATTGTGTTTACAGACAGTTGATTTACAACTATCCTGAACAACTGTTTGCTGATGCTGGAGTGATGGCCATTGAGCATGCAGACTTTGATGGCATTGAGCGTCTGGCTCTTGTGACTGGTGGTGAAATTACCTCAACATTTGACAATCCTGAGTTGGTTAAACTTGGCAAATGTGATCTCATTGAAGAGGTAAGTTATCTGTTTGTGGTACAAACAGGCTGTCTGTTTGCCTATATTGCATGTCATAGGATCATGGGAAGTCATATCATTAAGAGTGGAAGATAAACTAAATTATATCTTTTTTATTTATAGTGTATCATTGGTGAGGACCGCATGATTCGTCTCAGTGGTGTCCAGTTAGGTGAAGCTTGCACCATTGTGTTGCGAGGTGCCACAAACCAGATCTTGGATGAGGCAGACCGCTCACTGCACGATGCACTCTGTGTTCTCACACAGACAGTGAAGGAGACACGAACAGTATATGGTGGAGGTAAGGGCTGTCAGTCTACTCTATTTTTAAAATAAATAAATATATATATAATGTACCCACATGGAAACATTTTAAAACATACATCTTGAGTTGCAGTGCATGGACTGGCTGTACACATCTTAGGCCTAGCCACAATGTCTAGACTCGCATAATATTACATCACAAATAGATCTAGCCCTGTCACTTTAGGGTTAACAAGTATGTTTTCAAAATAAGGTGCTTTGACAATAATTTAGACAATTTCTCGATTCACAGGTTGCAGTGAAACCCTCATGGCCAAGGCGGTCATGGATGCTGCTGTTCACGTGGCTGGTAAGGAAGCCCTTGCAATGGAATCCTTTGCTCGTTCACTCCTTATGATCCCAACCATCATTGCTGACAATGCTGGGTATGATTCAGCCCAGTTGGTATCCGAATTGAGAGCAGCTCATGCTGAGGGTAAAACTACCTTTGGCTTGAGTATGGATGAAGGGATTGTAGATTGTATGAATCAAGTGGGCATCACAGAAAGTTACCAGGTTAAGAGGCAGGTCATGTTGTCAGCCTCAGAAGCAGCAGAAATGATTCTCAGAGTTGATGACATCATCAAGGCAGCCCCAAGGAAGCGCACTGCAGACCATGGACCTTGTTAGACTAGGTTTTGTCAGTAGGAATTGCTTTAAATACCTTTAAGAAGTGAAGAAAGTCATGAAATACCCAGTGCTGCCTCATACTTCATTCTGGAATCTTAAGGAAACTAGGATCAAATCAACTCGGCTAATGCTTAAGATTTAATATTACAATTTAATGATTGTCAACAAGATATTTAACATGTAACACCTTTTTTTTCTAATATCGCATTAAAAAGATTAAAAAGAGTCTTTTTTTCTTCTCATCCCATATATTCCATGTGGATAAAACTTTTTAGATGAGTGGTGATTAACAGGGGGGGAATATAATATATATATATATATATATATATATATATATATATATATATATATATATATATATATATTATATATATATATATATATATATATAAAAGCAAGACAATGCAAAACCAAAATTTTCTATAAGGTAAGAGAAAAATGATACACCAAATGTGTGTTAAGTATTGACTTTATATTAGGTATATATCAACACTAAACTTTTGTTTCAAATATATTTCAATTTCTTGGGAAAGTATAACTGGCAATTGTAAAAGTGATGGTAGTAGTAGCTATAGAATTATATTGAAAAGCAATTTTTTAAAGATGCATCCAAATTTACTTTGCTTTGTTAAATAGTATTTAGTATATAGAGCAAAAACTTTATAAAGTTCAATGCTTCATGGCATTGTATACATAGAACTGTTGTTTGTTTCCTTGTGTCATTTTGATAATGATATCCCCCCCCCAAATCCCATACCCATTGTGGCCATTTAGGGGCCTAGGAGATGGAAACTGGGACCCAATGCTGGGGATCACATGCCCTGAGCCTCGGCCCTGAACTCCTAATTTTACGTGGTCTTTTCTTGTTCCTTTCTCTTATCCAACCTTTTCTATCCACTTCTCCAGTACCTTCCTAAGGTGTGATAGCTGTGTTGAACAGATGAAAGGCTGACTTTATACCAGTTATGAACAGCTAAAAATGCTAGCATCAAGGCCACCCTGCCAAACACTACCACTCCACAGCCTGATTTCCTGTGCCCAACCCGGTCATGACTGATCAAACTGTTCTGCACAATTACGTACATGAGCCAATTGTTGTGGCTTGCATAATGTATTTTATAGGGGATGCCCCACCTCAAAGTTCTAGTCTAAGTGGCAATTCTCAGATTCAAACTTGGTCTCACTTTATACAAGGCCAGACAGGAAATGCGCAGATAAGGTTTTTCTCACTCCCCACATTATTCTCCTACTTTTGTCAAATTCTTATGCCATTCTAAATCCAGGCACCCAATCTCTACCCCTTTTCCTCCTAGCAAGACAAGCCTAATGTTCCACTTCATCTTCTACACCAACCTCTCCCTCCACCCTTCAAACTTTGGTCCCCTCTTAATTTGAGTCACTGAATTCTCTTTCTCCTGAAATTGATCTAAATCCCCCTTTCTCCTTTTGCTAATCCCTACCTTACCCTATGGACATCCTTGCAGAATCCCAATTCCTTTGACAACTTTGACCTAGTAACCCATGTTAATCCCTACCTTAACCCATTTACTCATCCTCTCTACCCTCATTCCTCTTTGCCCCTTTCAACTCTATACTATCCTGAACTGCTGACTTTTGAGGTCTAGCACAATTAAAGAGGGTTAGTTGATTACAGTTTTCACTGCTACACCTTTCTATATGACCTTTGATGTCGCACATTTATTTTACCTTGTAACCATCAACTAATGATAATGATGCAAGTTTTTCATTTTAGCTTGAGAAGGAACTTGTGTTGTATTGAAGTTTGTTTTTGGCCTAAAAATAATGTTGCAGATACAAAAGCGTTATTGTGACCAGATACTAACAAGACTAGCCCAAATAAACTTGCAAATAGATGTAATTTGGTGACCATAGCTTAATTTCTAGTGTAAATTTTTATATAAAGTTTACATCAGACAAGACCAATACAACTAAGGGCCTGTTTAAGAGTCCAATTATGGGGTTTGAGCATGCTCCAGATCAAAGTGCAGGGTTGGAGCATGTTTTTAACCACAAATCAGCATTTAGTGAATACAAGGGAAAGACCAACCCTTGCCCGTCAATAACATTCATAGACTAAAATATCTGCATGCTGCCTGTGTACTTATTTAAATAGGTATATATTCAATATAAACATCAAGTTTGGCATATGTGAAAATATTAATGCTGGTTATGGGCTCTTACAATAATTTATACGTTACCTATTGATTCATGTATTTTATATATAGGCTGTTTAAGTGTAGGCTTGGTGTGGCAGGAACCTACACATATGCAACTCCCATACTTTAGTGCCCAGGAAAGGTTGGTATTACAGTATGTCTCTAAATGGTCTGTTATGAGAAGCAGTTTAAATTGTAAATGAGCCCTAACAGAGTAGGTTTAAGAATTTTTATTTTTATCATAATTGTATTAAAGATGAAAAGTATATACTATATATTAGGTAATTTTTCCAGAGTAAATTTGATCATATTGCAATTTGATTCTATAAAGGATTACTCAATATACGTATTAGGTAACAATGATTTTGCTTTATTAAAATTGGATGGAAAATATAAATATTGCAGAATTTTAATTATCTATTCAACAAATAGCAAAAAAAAAAAAGGTTCTTATTATTTTTATTGTAATTACTATAAACTTTAAAACACCAATATATTGAGAAAACCAAAATAAAATAATTATAAAATATCCCTTAAAATGTACTACTGGTTAGTGCCACAAATAAAAACGCTAAAAAATTAACTAATCTAATGTTATGCACTGAATATCGTCATCATCCTTTTTAGGGTCTGGCTGACTGGTCTTTTCACTGGATCTATCTTTTGTAGAATCTGACTTAGTGGGCACAGGTGATTTTTCTGCATTCTTCTTAAAGAAGGACACAAAGGATGCTTTCTGGGCATCTGTTATCTCTTGATTGCGTGGAACTGAGAAGAGAGCCACTTTTTTCTTCGGCTGTCCAGGAGTCCCTGATTTTCCCGACGGCGTTTCCCCTGTGCTGTTGGGAGGACTCTCTGGATTTCTACTTGGAGTCACTGGTGCAAGTGATGCGCTGCTTGGAGATCCTTCATTCGACTTCAAGGTTTGAGGTGTTGTAGCTGGTGTAGAGGTAGGAGAGGTATTTGCTGAGGATGGGGTTGTAGGTAGTTTCTTGGTGAATGCTGTGATGGGAGTCAGTTTTCCTGCCTTGTTGGACTTGCTTTCTTCCATGGTGTCTGGGTCTTCAAAATTCACCTCCCGCTTTTCTTTAGGTTTATTAATATAATTCCAAGAATTTGGAACAGTTATATCGGCAACACCATGCTCTTCTCGCACTTGCTTTGAAACATACCTAAAAAAATAAATAAATAAATAATAAATAATAATAATAAAATAAACAAATAAAAGGATTAGAACATTTCCACTGGATATTGCAGTGCTATGCATGAAAATATGTAGAAAACACTAATTCTAATTATATCAAAGACTAAACTGAAAAATATGGTATGATATCTATCTATCTATCTATCTATATAATATATATATATATATATATATATATATATATATATATATATATATATATATATATATATATTATATATATATATATAAATATAAAAACAAAGAAGCACAAGTATATACACAATAAGATATAAATTTTATATATTTTTACACAAAGCTGTGTGTTTGCATACTGAGATGTGTACATGTGAGGGAGTGTGTATGTGTATATGCATATCAACCCAGTGAGAGACTAAGATAAAAACTTGAGATACACACCACATCATGACTTTACTGAAGGGGCCTTCCTCAGGACATTTACGCCAGTGGCCAAGTTCCTGGATTTTGGATTCCACTTTTTTACGGGCCAAGAACATGCTTGCTGAAATTTCAAAGTAATACTAGTTAGTGTTTTATTTCTTATAGAATAACATTACATAAAACTAAACATGATAATTAATATTGCTATTGATGATAATTAACACATGACAATATATGACAGGATGTAGGATAATGTTAAGTACAGAGGAATACTTAAGTATGAAAAAGATACATGAACAAAGAAAACCTGGGAAAAAGTGAAAGGAAGTACACAAATGTAAGTAAATGAGGAACTAAGGCAAAAAAGGAGCGAAACAAAAGGTAAGGGCAGAAGCAGTAATAGGGAGAAGAGATCTGAAGCTAGAGCGAGTTGAATGAACAATAGTGAATATAAAATAAAAGAAAGAGGCAAATAGAACATAACTGGACTACATAAGGGGGACTGAATAGAGGAATTTCAAAAATTGGAAATGAAGTTAGAAATACATGAAAGGTATCCAAAATGATGCCAATATCTTGTGAAATGGAAAAAAATAAGACAAACAAGAAGGAAAAGTGGAAAAGGCGACAGTAAACATAGTGGAGGGTCAAAGACCAGAATAAAGAAACTAAGGATGGGAAAGATAGGAAGGGGGAAATGAAAAGTGAGCAAGCTATTGTGTAAAAAGGAGTGTAAACTAAGAGAAACAGGAAGAACACAGGAACAATGAATAAGACTATGAAGACAAAAACAATGGGAAAATTAACAGGAGAAGAAGGCAGAGAAAATGCAAATGAGATAAGGAGGAAGACAGGGAAGTGAAATGAAAAACAAGGAAAATTAAACTCTTGAAGTATAACATGAACTCACCCTGAATGGGAGAAGAAAGCATCGGAATGCCCTCTAATTGTTCCTCATCCAATTCTCCCGCTTGTAATTTTCGCCAAAAGTCAGAAAACTCACGGGAAAGGAAAGCCTTCCCATTGCGATTTCCATGAACCAGCTTAATGAGAGCCGGCACAGCTGTAATGAATAATAGTAATATAAGCTTTGAAAAATAAACGATGTAAACCTCAAAAAACAAGGTATTGATACTGGTGTACCATTTATATATTTGTTATTTAGATTTGATTTGATATAATCCTAAAAACATATAATTTATCATCTCAAAGAAAACTCACCTTCTTCAGGGAAAGTTTTGCAAAACTTTTTAGCATTTCCTTTATCTTCAGTTGACCCATCATCATCATCTTTCTGTTCCTTGGTGTCCTTGGGAATTACTCCACCATGACGAGTACCAATGGGAAGGCTGGTTCCTAAGGTCACCGCTTTGTGTGGATTCAGGATCTTCAACAGTTGATTAAAAGCTAGAGAAAATAAAATTTACCTTTTAATACATTACAGAATCAAAAGAATGACAGACAGCCTAGTTTGTTTCAATTGAGAGCCCTAACCCTATGATGCATAATCACAGAAATAACCACATGTCTGCATGGTGTTTATATAGAGGAATCATGACCATGTAACGGCAGTTGAAGATTCACTTTAGGATTTAGAGAATCAAGTCTTACTGCTATCTCAAAATAAAACAAATTAAAAATTGGCTGGCCATGGCAATTAGTCATGAGCAAATTTATGCTGAGAGCATTTAAATAGTTACAATGATCCCTCAATTCTGAATGGCTTTATTTCAATGCAAAATTATCTTTTTTCAAATAATAAGCTAAAATTTTGACCCACTGAAGCCAGGTGATGTGAGTCATGTCACAAAAAAATTCACTTGAAAGCCATAGTGACAGGAATGACTTGCCATGATTACACAAAGCTCTTGGAGGAAGCATCAATTTAGTGGGCATTTAGGAAAGGTCTCTTGCATTATTTCCACCAGTAAATAAAGGTGGAATATGATAACAGTGAGCCATGTCTGGAAAAGTGCTAGGTCCTTGGAGGACACTTATTTCTTTGCTCAGGATCCTATATCTGTATGCTGTAACCAGCAGCACATGGTGTTAGATAATTGAATAATAATAATAAAAAAAAAGATAGCAATATTACAAACGGTAAGCAAGGAGTCTTTACACCGCACACAAGTGTTCATGTGGGCTGATAAGCTACATACATGGGAGAGTCACCACACAAGTTAGCCAAATGCTGAGATTTTGGTCATGAGGCCCTCAAGTCCAACATGTTGATATGTAAATAATCATGATCATGGCTAAAACCCAAAATACAAATACTGTAAAAACAGAGCCCCAACCACTTTTTAAAAAAGTTACCTGGATTGTTGTTTGCATCTGCCATCCATAAAGAACCAATAACACGGGGCTTCAGATGCTTTGTCTTCTTTTTCATTTCCTCTTCAAATTCTGCTTGTTTTTGCTTCAGCTGCTCTTTGTGTTTGCTTCCATTATCCTGTAATTAAGATGGACATTTTTACATATATACTAAAGGTTAAGAGAAATCTAAACACTGAAAACTGACTCACAATCAAGTCAATTTACAACTAAAAGCAATTATGTGATTAAAGGCGAGTCCACTGGTTCCCCAGACAGAGCAGGCAGAACAGGAGTGTAAATATAATTTGTGAAGTCCACAACTACTGTTTCTAAAGTAAGGAGCACACTTCTAGTTAATCTCAGAAATTAATTTCATTATACAGGGTAAGCCAGGCAGCATATAGCAGAAAACAAGACAAGAGAGTGTACTGCAGCAGCACCCAACAGGATACAGTGAATCTGTAGTGTATAACAAACCCTGTGTTTTCATTCAAACAAGCACAAGATTTCTCATCCTATACATTTTTTTTTTTAGAACTCTAGGGCATAATATTTCCAACTTTGAAAATCATCACATTCAAACCCCACCTCCTCCTGTCCATTCTCTTCCTCTTCCTCTTGGTCAGACTTGCCCTCATCATCCGAGAGGTAGCCATGGGGGACAAAGAAGTCATTATCAACTTCATATTGGTCTCCCTCCTCTTCCTCTTTTTCCTCTCCTTCAGAGTCACTTAGGCTCTCTCCTGTTTCCTCTTCCTCCCAATCATCATCACTGTCATACTCATAGTTAAAAATATCCTGAAATTTAATAAAATATTTAATGCAATGTGAATTAGTAGTTTGACAAATTTAGAAAATACTTGTTTATGCAAATACAATCATGAAAAAAGTTTTCATAACCTAGATATTCAAGACAAGCCATTAACAAGACCAAAGAAATAAGTTGCCTTGATTCCTATCTAAGAACAGCAAGAAAAACTGAAATCAGGAAATTTCACAGATCAAGGTGGGGAAAAATAAAGGGTAAACTCACATCTCTTGCAAAAGGCCGCCGTGCGCAGATATTTTTGCTCTTCTTGCTCCAGGTTCCCCAATATGCTGGTCTGCGATTTTCACAAAACTTTAGCAGCTTGGCCTTTACTGTCTTGATATTCAGATCTGATTCGGTTTCCTGAACCATTGAGTCTCCGGCATCCATATCTCCATCTTCATCTTCTGCAATTTTGAGGAAACAAAAGGTAATTTTCATAAAATAATTTCAGTATCTGTTTCACAGGAAAACCCATTTCTCCCCTTCCTATCAAAATAAATAAATAAATAAACAAATAATTAAAATAAAAATAAAAATAATAATAAAAATAAAAGAAATTGCAAGGGGAAAAAATGCAAAGACAAATGGGAAAAAAGAAGAAAAAAACAAACAAAAAAAATATATATATATATACCCATCAGTTAGAAAAACATTACCATCATTATCATCATTAATTACAATAATAATATTGAAGGAAAACTTACTCTAATTAAATTTTGCAAGCTATTTTTAAATATTCAGTTAAATTCGAACATAAGTAAAAAAATAAATAAATAAATAAATAAAAAGTAAATCTCAAACATACCAATAATTTCAATATCATCATCAACTTCTTCCTTCTTATTCTCAAAAGGCCAAGTGCGCTGAGACTTGCATGGTGCATAAATTCCTGTTTTGAGAATACTCAAGTAGGTTTCAGATGAATCTTTTGTTTGCTTGGTTAAATACTCATTAAGTGATGTCCGGCGGTCCTCTGTGAAGTTTGTGCGTACTAATGGAGCGAGCTGCATGTCTTCCTTTACCTGAATCAAAAACAAATTATCAAAATATAACCTCTTGCAGTTGTTGTATATTGGCAAGGCAACCTATTTTCCAATGATAAAAACTCATGACATTCAATTTTCCATTTCTTTTTTCCTCTCTAAATACTAATGGCAGAGTTTATATTTAAAAGCTGTTCTAATTAGGCAATACAATGATACTACAAATTAAAAGCTGCAATTAGGTTTACCACTTCCTTTCTGCCACAACTTTGACTCCATCATGAAGACAGTCCTGACTAATAGCCAAGTCAACATAGAGGCTGGTCATGCAAAAACCTTGGAACTGCAAAGCCAGCACTCTGCATTTATGTTCCCTATGTTGCAACTAACACAACATGGATTCAATTCCAGGACCATGAGGGTTGGTGTCCAATGCTTAAATCACTGGCCTGCCTCAGCAGTTGCAACAAAGTGGCTATAAACTCAGTATAAGCTAGTTTTGCAACCACAAATGCCCACTAAGGGCATGAACCTACAGCTGTTCAGCAAGATGCCCTATCCACAATATAAGAATATGTATATATAATTTAAAGAAAATCATGTGGAAGCTTACTCTGAATTCCTTGAAGTTCCCATTGCTGCTCTTTTCCTCAGCCTCCTCTAGGTCTCTTTTCTTGGCAACAAAGAAACTGGCAAACTTGTTTTTCAATTTGTCTTTCTGCTTCTGTTTTTCTTCCTGTGCTAGCCGTGCCTCCTCTTCTCTTATCATCCTTTCAACTTCTTTTAACTGCTGTTCCTCCTCTTTCTTCTGTTTTTTGGCTCTGAAATTTCAAGTAAATCAATGTGTGCAGAACATACAAACAAAAAGTTATAACATCTAGTCAGAACCTAGTCAAACTATTTCAAAGTTAGTGATTTGGACATGTATAAAAAATAAATTCTTGACAAAAAATATAATAGATTTCACTCATTGCAAATTACCTTTATCATGAACACATTAAATTCAGACAAAATAGAATCTACATCTGTTCCACATCAAAAAAAACTTACTCAATTTCTTCTTGTCTCTTCCTTTTCTGCTCTTCTTTGGCCTTCTCCTTCTCCTCTTTTGCTTTCTGCCTCTCTTCCTCTTTTTGTTTCTTGATCCTCTCCTTCTCTGCTAGTTCCTCCTGCTTTTTCTTCTCCCTTTCTTTCCTCAACTTTTCTCTCTCCTCCCTCTTTTGCTGCCTCTCTGCTTCCTTTGCTATTTGCTTTGGAGTAAGCTTCTTTGCCTTTTGTATACTGACTGGAGTCTTCTGCCCTGAAGACATGGGTACCTCAAGCTTATCTGAGGATTTAGACGTCGCAACAGGTGAGGTGTTGGCTGAACCTGTGCCATCGCTCTTTGAGGATCCACTGGCATCCAAGTCAACTTCCATCTCCTCTGTGCTCTCATTTCCTTCATTGTTTTCTTCCTTGCTTTCACTTCCCTCCTCATTTTCTTTCTCTTCCTTGCTCTCACTTCCTTCTTCATTCTCTTTCTTTTCTTCCTTGCTATCATGTCCTTCTTCATTCTTTTCTTCATTGTTTGAATCACTATCTGTTTTTCCACCATCTGCTTTCTTTTTCATCTTGACTTCCTCTTCATTTTTCTCTGTTTTATCATCTGTTTTTGCTTCCTCTTTGCTAGCCTTTTTTGATTCTGCTTTGGTTTCTACTTCTTGGCCCTTATTTTTCAGAATTTTTCTTCCCTTTTCAACACCTTTTTCTTCACTTTTAGGTTTCTCCTTTGCTTCTGTTTCATTTGTTTTCTTCACCTCCTCTACCTCATCCTTCTTTTCTATAACTGCTTCTTTGCTCTCAGTCTTTTCTTTTGAATCTTTAGTCAGCTTTTCATCACTTTCTTTCTTTTCCAACTTCTCTGCTCCTTTTTCTTTCTTCTTTCCTACCAACTTTTCCTTCTTTCCTTCTGCCTTGATCATATTTTGTTTACCTTCTTTCTTGGCTCCTGCTGGTTTCTTCTGCACCTTATCCTCTTTTTCCAATTTATCCTCTACCTTTTCCTCTTTCCCTGATTTTCCTTCCTGTTCTTCTACAGCTTTTTCCTTAACAGCCTTCTCATTCTTTGCATCATTGCTAGTTTTCTTTGCTTTGAGCATATCAATTAATGGTGAACTTTTCTTGCTGCTCTTTTTATTCTCCTCCTCATTTGCACTTTCAACTTTCGTGTTTTCCTCAGGTTTTTCCTCCTCTTTGCTAGCTGCATCAACTCCACCCTCGGAAGCCTCTTCAACGGGACTGTCATCCTTTGAGGATATCTCCATCTCTCCTCTCCCACTCTCCTCTTCACTGGTACAATCTTTGTTCTCCTTGTCTTCCTGTTCCATTTCTTCCTTGTCCACATCATCTGTGGAGGTAGTGACTTCTGCCTGCTGGGTTGGCTCCTTGCTCATGAAGGCAGACAGCAACTTCCTCGTTTTCTCAACCGGTTTCTTCTTTGCTTCAGGTACATCAACGTCATCATCGACACTTGAACTAACTTCATCATCAGAGGTCATCTGGTAACTATTGAGATAATTCATATATGAGAGGGACTCAGAGGTGAGGAGAAAGATACAGATAGAAATGCATAGAGACAGAGCGACAAATAGGACAGAAATAGAGACAGATAAAAAGGATAATTTTACCAGAGCTTCTAAACACAAATATAACATTCATGTAAATCAAAATGCCAGAATAGTTTCATCTTACCTTGCCTGCTTTGCTCTCTTGCTCTCTTCTTTTTCCTTTTCGGTCTTTGGAGGTCTTCCTCTTCCCCTCTTTTTAGTCGATTCAGTGGGAGTCACCCCTTGCTTTGACTTGTCTTTGGTGGCACTTCCAACTGACTTAGGTGTTTGCAACTTTCTATCTGACACTGGGGTTTCACTCATTGAGTTGTTTTCACTACGAGGAGTCTTGGGTGAGTTTTGAGAGAGTTCTGATCCAGACAGCTTTCGTTTCTTCTGATTGTTGGGGCTTGAATTCTTCTGTGGGGTCTTGGAATCCAGGGGTGCAAAAGGCAAACGACCTAAGAAAAGCAAACATTGATGAATAAAAACCAAAAATGGTGAATTGAAGTAGTCCTATCTTTTAGATGTCCATATCACAATTAAAATCTAAAGTACACAAAAAGATTCAAAATTCTAAATGTGACTAAAGCATATACTTTATACTCACTCTGCTTTAGTTTCTTTAATGGTGGGCTTCCAAAGCCTTTCTTGCCCACCTCACCCACTGAAATGAGAGATAAGGATATTCAGTCTAAACTTATTGGGTTTAAATTTGAGGAAAAATTAACAATACTGAATCTTAATGGTTCTTAAAAGACAATCTGAGCAAATAAGTATTCCACCAAGTATTTCAACTGCAAAAGTCACCAGGAACACACCTTTCCAACAGATTTAATATCCACAAGTAAAACAAAAGCTAAGTACATATTGAAAAATATTACATTCAGGATATTTTCTTTTGTCAAGCAAAACATAAGTAATGAACTATAGGTAAAAAGCCAATAAGATGCTGAATTAATGCACAAACAAACTAGATAGCTAATGAAAATATATGTACCCCAAGACTCAATGGTTAATCTTTATGGTATGGACACACTAAGTTAGAGCAATTTGAATATGATATTCTTGTTGAGGACAAAAAGTTGCAATCCTTGGTACATGAAATCATTTGCAGATACAAACAGTAATGCAAAAAATAAAGGAAAAACATTGCAGAAAGCACCACTCTCAGCCTAAGTACCCTTGCTGCGCCCAAGTTTCTGTTCTATCTTGTCATGCATACAAAGGTGAAGTTTATATTTCCCGGGGGGATGTTGAGGGGCAGAGCCTCCCATCAACCCTCCTCTCAGGCAGTGCCCGAAGGGCACGCCCAGTCACGGCAACTTTGACTGATGAATAAATTTTTTGACGTGGGGTTGGGGACTTCGTTTCTGGCAAATGTGTCCTTACTGTAAAGAATTACTATCAAATTTTTAAAGAAAATATATAAAAATGGGGTCTAAAAGTTTCAAAATCACCCTGGATTTCATCTTCAGGTCTGCTCTTTTTCCAAACCCTTTAAAATTAATTTGATAGTAAAGCCCCTGACAGATCCTCAATCAAGATCTTCTGATGAGTTTTTAACAGAATGCACACTGTTCTGCTTCTCATTGTATTTTAGGAGGCTTCTACTTTAAGACTTGAGCAGGTTCTTGTATCCCCACTTTCACAAACAAACAAAAAAAGGAACAAATCACTTGCTAAATGTACAGCAAACAAGTTAGTATTCAAGAGCTATATTTAAGAGGACAGAAATGCCAGACACATGGAGACCAAACGTACTCTAAAATCTTCCATTTTCTCATGGTGCTAAGCATACAGTAAATCAGTGGGAAACATTAATCCATTCATTAAAAAAAGAAAGAAAGAAATATTTACAAGACACCCATGAATTTGTCCCTAACCTCATACTAAATAGTAGTCTTCCTATTTCCCAATACTCAAGCAAAAGCCAAAAATCACCACATTCTCGCTAGAAATATCCTGCAGGTCCCTATGGCAATTACCATAAAATATGGAAATTGTCCCAGCACTATGTTCTTAGAATATAAATGGTGGAGATTTGTCAACCTTCGCAATAGCACATAACACAATAAACACTTAACAATGCGCCAATATCAGGACAGTCCTCACGTTGTAGGACATCCACAATAAGCGTCAAGTAGATTTGAATAGAACAAAGCCAATATAATTATGAGAAATTTCCCATTCTGAAAAACCATTAGGGATTTATTTAAACATCTTCCATGAATTCTACTTTGTAAGGATGTGCCTTCCCCAAGAACTAAAAATGCTCATATATTTCCATGAGCCAAACTTTAAAAACTTGTGTGATAGGTAAACCAAGAAAAAGAAATAAAAAACATGGTCCTTAGACTGAATTTACAAAATTTTTCACTGAAATAGTTCGAAATTTCAACTACTTCGCTGACAAAGCAGCACTGAATCGGATCATAACACAATTACTTTTCATTCTGCAATATCTTTTCCTTTAATCATTATTCTAAGTAACGAATCTTCAACATAATTACGCAAAAACGATTTTAAATATACAGACTTTACTATTTTTTCGTAATATCAGAACATCTGACGACGTGAATCCATACGCAAAAGATACATCACTTGAGGTTTAGTTATTTGATATGGTATTGGAGAAAATAAGTTCATCTGCTCCTTAAAGCATATTTGAAGAGGGAAAAAAAGGTCAATATCCTAAAAGGCAAGAGATTCGTTACGTTTTTTTTTTTTTTTTTTTTTTTACTTGTACGAGTATTTTAATTTTATTTTTGTTTGTTTGTTTGTTCGCCTGAATCTTATTTTCACTTACTTTCTTCAATGACACTATTGCTTACTTTTATTCTTATTTTTCTGCATCGTTATTTTCAATATTTTTGGGGTCGCTTCATAATCCGTTTTCCCGAAACTCAAAATCTCGATCAAGTCAGGTCAACAACAACAAAACTTTGACAAAAGCACATATATAGCGCAACTCACCCTTTTTTCTTTCTATAACTCGCGTGCATTAATCAACTCACCTATTGTGCATTCCTCCTCCATGATTCCCGATTCCCGTCTGTCTGTAAAGCACCAAGAAAAAGCGAGAAAAAGCGATCTCTCCTCCCCCGACAGCCTTTCTTTCCTCAGCGCGACCGTCCACCTTCTTGTCTCTCTCAGCTGTTCGAGCGCGGTAACTTTTCGCGGGAACGCCTCTGATTGGCCAGCGTGATCGATTGTAAACATTTGTCGACCAATGAGAATCGAGGAAGCTGAAAAGAAGAGGACAGTAAATCTTACACCAATCAGATCCAAGTTTGGATTTGCTATTTGGTTGTGATTCGATAGAATTTAGAAGAGTAAGATGATAATGTGAGTTCTCGCGGGAACATTTTTGATTGGCCAGCATACTCGGTTGTAAACATTTGTCAACCAATGAAAATTGAGAAATTCGGGAAGCACATTGCGATCGAAATTTAACCAATAATATTCCATTTTAGATAAAACATTTAGTTACAATTGGTAGGATCTTCGAAAGTAAGAGGATCATATGAGTTTTATCTTGTTCCAAGCAAGACACAGCTGACTGGCCGACCGACTCTAGGTGAGACTTCGCGAAAAGGATTGCAGCGCCGTTGAGTTCATGTTGCTCACCGCTGAGGCCCCCGAGAGCTCAGCCAAAGCCAAGAATGGAGGACGAGGAGGCGGAGTTATCCCTTCTTGCGGATCTGGTGCATATCGAGATCGGACGACGGGAAAAACGACCTCATTGTAACAGATGCTGGTGTGTGACTTCAACTGCAGTCTGCAACAATACATTAAACTTTGTGCGAACGACAAAGAATTGGCCATGAAGCTTGTGTTTTATAGACCTTTAAAGATGGCAGGAATGCAGAGTAATATAAATAAAGGTGAATTGGATGGTCACGACCAATAGGCCTAAGCCTAGACATTGCAAAAGGTCATGCAAAAGTTACGCCCTGGCAGTCATTGCTGGGGGATATTTTGCTATACCCCGTCTTTTTCAAATTGCAGAATTGCCAATGCAAGAGTAATAAAACGCTAATTTTATAGTCTTAGGCCTATATCAAACGTATATTGTGCATGATATATTTATCTTCGTGTAGAATACTCAATTTTTTTATGGCCTAATCTGCGTTTCATTTGTGTAATGTGTTCCTTTCAGTAAGATGGTGATCTCTCTATATTGTAAATGTCTAAGTATATTAGAATCTCCCGTGTTCCAAATTATAATTATATTACCTTGACTCTTGTAAATCCTACTGGCTGTGGCATCACTTGGCATCATACTATTAATTTAAGATTTAACTGTCTTTTCAAAGAATGATTTGAGTATTTAACAGTATTTATCATATTTTTACGATTCAAATACTTTCCTCATCATTCAGTAGTGTCTTTCCCAAACAAGTGTAGTTTTGCAGGAGAAATAGTCATTGTATGATAAGTGATTAGTTGATTATTACTGGAGTGAAATATAGGTACAACTTATTTACATATCAGATCATTTTAGCATTGATATTTTTATTAGGTCCCTTTAGCAGTGAATAGATGTTTATATTAACAATCGTTTATCTCATGTTATAATGCCATTGAAATTTGGATATTACATTATTATTAAATAGAATAGCATTTGTGAGTAGGTACAATTAAAACCACTGAATGATATGTATAAGAATAACACACCTTCTTTGTAGTCGACCTGTGGCTGTGTGCTGGTGCCAGAGTCTTGACAAGCAGATAGTGGAGACATCATGCCGGGTAGTGATACTCCAGCACCCGCACGAGGAAAAGCGTTGCCTTCGCACTGCCCCAATGCTGCAGGCGGCTCTCCCCAATGGAGCCTATATGCAAGTCAAGGGAAAGAGGTTCTCATTGACAAGGTATATTGCTCTGTAAAATTTTTAAATATTTCCTTCTTTCTTGAGTCACTTTGTTTATGTGTCTGTAAGAGTGAGAGTGAAATTGTTAATGTTATTTGTACTCCACAATATTTTAGATTAAATTGTTATTATTATTTTATTTTTATTTTTTTTTCATGGTTTAGGAAACTTAGTCATACCCTTCATGCTAGTTACTGATAACCCATGTTTTCCCTCACTATTTTTCTTCTTACGTCTAGCTATTATTTTCTTTACCCAGAAATGTGATGATTAATTTTTTTTTCCTTTCTATCAATCCCCTAGGTATCCACAGCTAACAGACATATTGACAAGTGAGAATTCAATTTTAATGTATCCCGGAGAAGAAGCTATGAGCCTAGAAGAACTACCTCCTGTAGGGAAGAACCAGCCCCCATACAACATAATTATCATCGATGGGACATGGCAGCAGGCTAAATCAATGTTCCATAATTGTCACCAGCTCCATTCATTGAAGCAGGTAAGATAAAAGAATCAATTTTAAGGAAATTGGAGATATGACTAAGTTCAAGAAAAGACTTGATGTCTAATATCTAGTATTGTTTATTG